TATGTATTTAAAATATTTTTTTATTTGTTTTACCTTTTAACTAAATGTATAAGATAATTACTAAGTCCTCTAATTGCGCTATAAATATATTTTAATATTTTTATTACTAATTTGTTTATATTTACTTATTTCTTAATATATCGATTTTTTATTAATCTCTTAACTCTTAATTCTTTTTAAATTCATTTTTTAATAATTATCTAACTGCTTAAACTTTGCTTTTCTTTATTTTTTATAATTATATATTTTAGTTAATTTTTGATAATGTTATTTACTTATTAAACCATAGTAGGAACTGCCTTCATGCAATCTCTAAATATCTATTCAAATATAATTTTTAAAATTAGCTTTTTTATAAATACTTGTTATTATATATATTAAACACTTCTAAAGTCGATTTATTTGGAAGCATTTTTTTTTTTTTTTGTATTATTTTTTTATTTAAATTGGTTTTTAAATCTTTAATTATAATATCTTTTTTATTATTTATAATAAATAACTATTATAGAATTACATTTTGAATTTTTATTTTTTATTAAAAAATAAAAATATTAAATAAAATATTTAAAAAATAAAAGTTTTATTTTTTTATAAATAAATATAACATTAATAATTTTTTTTTAAAAAATATGAATAAAACTAATTAAAAAAATATTTAAAATAACTAATCACCCATTTAAAGTTAAGGAAATTAAAAAAATTATAGTGTTGCTATTAGAATTAAACCTCATACATAATTGGATAATAATTCATAAGAAATAGTAAGTACATTTGGCATATTTTCTGAATGTAACGGATAATAAATTATATTAAATGAAAAAGGAATTAACAATAAATTTCTTTTTGATAATATTAAATAAGATAAAGATTTTCATATTCTTAAAAATGATAAAGAATAAAAAAAAATTGATTCTTTTTAATTTGATTATGTATTCAATTATAACATTAAGTAAAATATATATATTTTATTTTTATTAAATTTAAAATTTTATAAAGTGATTAGTATATATATGATTATTACTTTTAATAAGGAATAAATTAATTATTTTATAATTAAAATTCTACTTTTATTTTTTATGGATCATAAAAGTAAATAAAAAAAGCATATATATATGTTTTGTTTATTTATTTATATATATATATATTAATAAAAAAAAAAGCTCTGGAAAATCATATTCTTTTTGTGGGGAACAAGGAGTTATTTTTAAATCATGTGAAGATATTTTAAAAAAAATAAATGAGAATAAAAATAGTAAATTAAAAATTTAAATTTTGGCAATTTACGACGATTAAATATTTGATTTATTACACAAATAATAATAAAAAACTAGCAATAATATAAATGATTATGTAAAAATAAAACAAAAATCATATTTTTTTGTTTTGTTTTAATTATAATAAAATAACAAAAAGATTAAAGAGATTACTGAAACATCAATAGATAAAATCAATATATTAAATTTAGATAAAATAGAAATTAAAAACATTAATGAATTCATTACCTTAATTTAATTATTATTTAAAAACATAAGTATATTAGAAAAAAAATTAAGCGAAACTAACTTTTATAAAAAATCGCATATAATTATAAATTATAAAATATGTGATAAAAATAACAATTTAAATAATACACAATTAAATATAGTAAGATTAGCTGATATTGAATATTAAGAAAAATGTTAATAATTATAAAATGATTTTAATATTTTATAAAAATATCTTAATCATTGCTCTAAATATAAATAATGTTCAAAAAACTATAAACTATATAAATAAAGTAAACTTACATATGCTTTAAGAAATACTTTAAATGAAATTTCAAATATATATAATATGTGCTGTGTAAGTTCTTCTTTAGAAAGTTATGAAGATAATATGAAAGCAATTTAGGTAATACTTATTATTTATTTAATTATTTTAAATAAAAATATCTATTTTATTAGTATTATTAGAAAGTTGGTAGTAGTAATAATTATAATACGTTATAAAGCACTACAATAAGATATGGAACATAAGATGATACTTAATATTCTCCAAATTTATAAAATTTTACTACAGAAAATCAAAACTAATCTTATTAAAAAGAAAATCAAAGAAGTAATTATAAAGAATGTAATATTATATATTAAATTAAAATAATCAATTAATATTTAATAAGGTGAATTTTAATAGCTTATAGTTGATACAGAAAATTTAGTTATTGATATAACAAAAAACTTTAATAAAATTTTAAACTTGAATAAATGTGAAAATAATTAATGGGTTAATAATAAATAAATGACGATGTTCAGTTTATTAAAAAAACTTGAAGCCTATTCAGATTAATATCCGCCAACTGTAGTTTCTTATTGTGATTCTTTACTTCAAAATTCGTAAAGTATGCTTTAAAAAATTAATTATATAAAAAAGCTTGATTAATTCGTAAAAAAAAAATGATTCAAATTATATAAATGATTAAAATAATTATTAATCAAATTAGAAAACTAATATATAAAATAATGAAGTAAATAAAAATAATAAAATAAATATATATATATATATATATATATATATATATATCTATAAAAATTAATATATATATAAATATTCATACATATAAATATATATATTATTTATAATAATATTTTTTAAAAAATATATATAAATTTTTATTATTTATCTTTTTTTTTCTATTTATTCATTTATTATTTAATGTTTTAAAAAAAATAATTAGTTTAATATTTAACTTAAAATAAATTATAAATAATATAATATATATATTATTTTTTTTATTCATATTAATTTAAATATATTTCTTTTTAAATTTACTTATTAAATATTTAATTATTTTTATGTCTATATATTTTTTTAAAAAAATATATATAAATAAATAAATTTTTAAATAAATAATAATATTATAAAATTTAATATTTTTTAATTAGAAAATTAATGAACAAATAGTATATTTGTAAAAAAGTTTGAATTTTAAAAATTAAATAATATAGGATTACGATAATGAAATTTAAAATTGCTAAAATAATATTATTTAAAGTATGAAATAAATTAAGGAAGTTGAAATTAAATAAAATATTTAAGAAATGGAAAAATAATAATTATAAGAATTAAATTATGAATTATAAAAAAGTTTAGATAAAAATAAATAAAAGACAAGATAATTATAGTATTTATATTTTATAAAATTAATTTTTTTTAAAAAAAAATACAATGAAAAGGGAAATATTGATTTAAAAAGAACAAGAAATTATCAATTAAGAAGAAATATATTTAAAAAAAATAGATTATTTAAAAAATATTAATTATAGTTCAAAATATAATATGTATAAATAAAGAATATTAAATTTATTTTAATTTTTTATTTGAAAAAAAAAGTAAAGAATAAGAATTATAAAATTTTGAAAACAATTAATAATTAAATCAATTAAAAGATAATTTAAATTATAAAAATTAATAAATATAATAATTGAAGAAATAAATAGAAGATTTATAAATATAAAATATGACAATAAAACAAAAATATTAAGATGAAATGATGGTTTATAGCAATGCTAATATAGAAAAAGAAGGATAAATTGTAATTTTAAATAAAAAAATAGAATAATTAATGGATGAAAATACATAAAATGAACTTAAAATACAAAAAATATAAGCTTTACACGAAAAAGATTAAAGTTTATTTTAAATAAACTATGATAATTTGAAAAAAAGTGCAAAAAAAAAAATCAATAAATACAAAGCTTTGATACAAAATTAAAGTTTATATTTAGAAACAATAGGAAATAAAAATATTAACTTTAAAAAAGGAACACCATATATATCTTCTTCTATTGACTTAACTTCTTATAAAAATATAGTATTTTTTTATTATATTAATAATATAATTATACATAAATATAAAATTAAAGAATAGTCTTTAAAAATTATAAAGTCTTTAAAATTATGCATATCAATTAGAAAATTAAGTCAAAGATTTATAATAAAATTAAAATATAGATATGGAAAATATAAAAAATGTAATTTTTTTAATTCCTATATTTTGTTTATTTTTTTTGTAAAAACAAAAAAAAAAGCTTAAAAGTATGTTATAGTAAGAATAACAATAGAGTAGCGATTTATAATCGGAAAATATTAAAATAAAATAATAAATGGAAGTAAATATTTTGATTTAATATGTTATAAAAAAATTAAAATTATATAAATAAGGAATATTTGAAAATTGAAAAAACAGTTGATGAATTATCATAAGAAATCTAATATATGAAAAAATAAAATAATGAATTAAAAGAAAAAGATTAAAAAAATATTAATTAAACTAATAGTTTAAATAAAGCTATTTAAAAATTAAAAGAAAAAAACACTAAATACAAAAAATTTAATAAAATTATGAAAATTTAAATTAATGATGTAAAAAAAAAAAAAAATTAAAAAAAAAAAAAAAAAAAAAAATAGCTTTAAGAAAATTTAGAAAATTATGAAAAATAATAAAAATGTAAATGAAAATTAAAAAATTAATAAACTTAAAGAAAATAAAATTAAAATAATAGAAGAAATTTAATAAATAATAGAAAATCATAAATTAATAAAAAGTTTAAAAAAATGAAATTAAAAATATTATAATTTTTATTTACACATTAATCATTATAAATATTAAACAAAAATATTAATATATATATATATATTTATGTATATATATTTTTTTTCTTTTAAAAATAAAATAAAATAAAATATAGCATTATTTAAATAACATTATTTCTATTTATTTATTAATTATAATTATTTTATATTATTATTTATAATAAAATATCAATTATCAATTTTATATAAATATTCTTATGCTTTCTTTTTATTATTATATTACATCTATAATTTTAATTTGATATTTATATATTTTTTATTTTTCTAATCTTTATAAAAAGGAAAAAAAAATAAAAAAAATATCAAATTTAGTTATATATATTATTTTTTTAAAATAAAAAAATTCTCTTATATATATATATATACAGAAAAAATAATATTAATAAAAAAAAAAATGAATTAAAATCCAAAATTTGTCGACCCAAAATTATGGCCTAATCCTGATAAATTAAAATTCGCTGAATTTTATAAATATGAAGGTTTAGATATGGCAAGAATTAGAGATTCATTCAAAAATTATAAGGCATCGAAATTTTATCTTCGTAATATTTTCAATTAAAATAAATAGATAAATAAACAAATACAAAAACATAAGACACTAAAATTTTATAACTATAAAAAAATAAATCATTTATTTTATTAATTATAATATTATAGTCTCTTTGTTTTTATCTTAAACGAAAAAAAAATCAAATAAAAATCAATTTTTTTTTTTATATTAAAAAAAGTCGGAATTTTTGGTGGATGTTATATGTTATCTATGTTTATTGATAAAGCAGTAAATAAATATACTTTTGGAGAAAATGGTAAATAATAAAATTTATGAAATATAAATTTTAATAAAAAATAAAAACAAAGGTAATGGAGGTGATATTTTAAAAATGTACAGTTTAAATTCAAATTATGATTTCTATTACAACAGATAATTCTAATAAATGAGATATTTAACTGAAGATCTCCATGGGGATGATTCTTTGGAAAAAGCCAGACCTGAACATTTGATTTCCCTTGGTATTGCTGAATTACCTGTTCCTCCTAATAATATTGTTAGAAAGAAAGCTCCTCATGAGAAATATTTATGATTTTTATATTTTTTTTTTTTTTATTAATGAACATTTTTTATATGTTTATTTTTTTATTTTATAGAAAATTAAAATAAATAAAATTATTAAAAAATAAAACTTTGAAAAGATAAGAATTTTTTTATTTTATTTTTTTCTTATTATTTTATATTTTTATAAAATATTATTTATTTAATTTTAAATAAAACAAAAACATAATATTTTTTATTTTTCTTCAATATTTAATAATTTTTATTTAACAAAAATTAAAATTATTTGATGTAATTTAAAAAAAAGATAAATCTTATGTATATATATATATATTAAAATAATTTATATAAATTATAATAATATTTAATCAAACAATTATATAATTGTAAATAAAATAAAGGAAAAAAAAAAAATGATCCCAAAAACGCTTTCTAAATACTTCTTTTCAAACAAACCATATGTATGGATAAACAAGCACACTAAAGTAATATGTTAAGGAATAACTGGAAACTAAGTAAAAAACAAACAAAATAAAACAATCAAAATAATATAAATTAGGGTACATTACATACTGAATAAGCTTTAGCTTATGGAACAAAAATGGTTGGAGGAGTAAATCCTAAAAAAGCTGGATAGACCCATTTAGGATTACCAGTATTTAAGAACTGTGAAGAAGCCAAAAAACATACTTAATGTGATGCTTCAGTAATTTATGTGCCTCCAGCTTTTGCCGCTGCTTCTATAATGGAAGCTATTTAAGCTTAAATTGAATTAGTAGTTGTTATTACAGATGGTATTCCATAACATGATATGATTAGAGTAAAACATGCTTTAAGAGCATAAAATGTAACTAGAGTTATAGGACCTAATTGTCCTGGTATTATTAAACCTAATGAATGTAAAATTGGTATTATGCCAGGTTATATACATAAGTAAGGAAAAATAGGTAAATATATATATATATAAATATATATAATCATTTATTATTTTAGGTATTGTTTCTAGATCTGGTACTTTAACTTACGAAGCTGTAGATTAGACTACTAAAGCAGGACTTGGATAATCTACTGTTGTTGGTATTGGTGGAGATCCTTTCAATGGAACAAATTTCATTGATGTTTTGGAAAGATTCGTACATGATCCTGAAACTAAAGGAATTATGATGATTGGAGAAATAGGAGGTGAAGCAGAAGAATAAGCTGCTTATTGGTTAAAAGAGCATAATACATAAAATAAACCCGTTGTATCTTTCATTGCTGGAGTTACTGCACCTCCTGAGAGAAGAATGGGACATGCAGGAGCTATTGTATCAGGTGGAAAAGGATCTGCACCGGAAAAAATAAAAACTTTAGAAAGCGTTGGCATTAAAGTTTCGAGATCACCTGCTACTTTGGGTGAAGAAATGCTTAAAGCTATGAAAGCAGCTGGTTTAGCATGAATGAGGCTTTTTTTTATATTTATTTTTTTTTAAAAAAAAAAAAAAAAAAAAAATACTTTTATTATGTTATTCTTGTTTTTTTTTTATTTATTATAAAAATTAAATGGATTAATTATTTCTTTATTTGGAAAATAAAATAAAATAAATATTTAGTGTTTTATATATTTATGTAAAAACAATTAAATAAATATAATGAATTACATAATTTTTTATTTATTTATTTAATATTAATTCAGTTCATTAGTTTTTGTTTTTATTATTCAGATTTTATACTGCAATATCGAAAGGATCTCTTGGTTATTGTTATAATTATTATTAATTATAATTTAAATTGCCATTATTTCTATTGCCTACTTTAAAAGAATTTATTGCTAAATTAACTCCTAATGAACCTATAACAACACCTGTAATAATAGTTCCAATTTACAATATTGTTTTTAAAACCATATAAAGTTTATATTTAATTTACTTTTTTCCTTAATTTGTATATATTTGATTATAAATAAAATAAAAATATATTTATAAAATATATATTATATTATATATATATTAATATATAAGAATTTTCTATATTTTATAATTTAATTATTTTTTGTTTTGGTTTTGTTTTTATTTAATAAATAAAGTTATAAAATTCAAACAATTTTGTAATCAAATTTTATAAACTAACTAAAATATAGAAAAATATAGAAATAAAGGATTTTAATAGTATAATTTAGTTATAAATAAAATTTTGATCAATCAAAATCTTTTTTAAAATTGCTATACATAAGGCGATAAATTAACATTATACTATATATGCTTACTAAACTAAATAGGTTGTATTTTTTTTTTTAAATTAATAAATTGTTTTGGGCTTTTTAACGAGATAAATTAATGGCAGATTTCGATTTATTAATTTTTTCTGATAAACTTGTATTATTTAAAGAAATATTTTCACTTATTTTTTATTTTTTTTAGTTAATTCCTATTTTAATTTTCTTTTTTTAATATATTGAAGGGTTTTTATTAAAAACATTAATATTTGATATATTTCTTTTTAATTGATTACTGTTACTATTATTCCCTTTTAAAATTCTTATCATATTATTATTTTTATTATTATAATAGTTTTAGTCTAAAATTGGACTACTTTTTTTATTTGATAAGTATTGCTTTTTAAATTAAATAGGAGTATTTTATTAATTAAAAAAATTATAAACTGGAGAATGTAAATTACTATTAGAATTTATTTTTTATAGCTTTATTTTATTTTAATATAAAGTTTCTCTACTATTTTTTTAAGTTTTTAATTATTTCTTCTCTTCTTTTCCTATAATTCCTTCTCTTATTTTTATTTACTATTATAAAAATTATATTTATTAAGCTTTTTATTTCTAACTCATTTCTTATCTATATTCTTTTTGTTAAAGTTCTAAATTTTCCTATATATACAAGCATAGAATATTTAACATTTTTTTAAATATACATGTATATATATATAATATACTGTTTATGCTTACTAGACTTTATAAATATTCATTAAATAATTAATATTAGGTTAAGTAAGATTCACCTATCTTATTTACTTGATATTTTAAATTTATATATATACTAGTATAAATAAATGCGTATATATATATTTTACAGTTAAAATATCATTTCTTTTATCAACCAAATTAATGTATTTATTTGTATATTCTTCTTTTTGATTTTATAGATTTTCTAAATTATTTTTAAGACTTTCTATTTTTTCTTTAACTTATTCTGAGTTATTGTTTTCTTACAAAATATTTTATATTTAAGAATTAACTTTATCAATATAAGCATCCACATCCTGGCTATTTTTAATAATATTTTATTCTAATTAAAAGTGTTTTACTATATTTTTTTCATTTTTATCCATATAATCATTTTATTATTATTCAAATTATTAATTATTATTAGCTATAGGAGGCAAATTTACATTTTCTAAAAGAAAATAAACAAAATAAACAAAATATGTATATATATAAAGTAACATTTTTCTTAAAGCATTTTTTTTAAGTTTTCATTTTCTTATCTTAAATTATTAATTATTTAAGCATAATTACTAATATGATTATCTACATTAAGTATATTCCTCTTTACATTAGTTTTGATATTTTTCGCTCTATTAGCAAAATTAAGAGTATTATAAGTATCTTCAAAAGTAAGCACACTAGGAGAAATATTAGCCAACATAACAGTTCTACAATTACCTCCTAATGAATCTTTTAATAATCTAGTAAGTTTAGACCCTCTATAGGAAACAAATTAATTTTATTTATGTTTATCTTATATTTCGCTTAATGCTTATATACAATTACCTAAACATAATAAAGACTAATTTATTTTGGCGCCTTCGATCATTCTAATTCCTCTATTTTTAGTATTTGCAGCACGTTCACTTCCTGCTAAATCTACCATTGATAATTTTGCGTAGTGTATTTTTTGTTCTATACCCTAACCTTTTTCTTTTATTTACACTTCGACTTATAAAACTGCATGAGATCTAGAAGAATACTCGTTTGCACCTGTAGCGTCTTAACTTCTATTTTTATTTCCAATCTTTATTTTTTTTTTATTTTTTTTTTTATTTTAATTTGACACAAAAAATTACTTTTAATATCTATATTATTTCATTACTAGTTTCGCATTATACTTCCGTTATTCCGGTTACGACTACTCCTTATGAGGGATCTTCTCTTAAATCTAAATTTTTATCCTCACTGGAAAGTAAGTCTTTTATATTCTCATTGTATATTTCTAAATATCCCACTTTTACTACATATTCATTTGTAACAGAAAATTTCTATATTAAATTGTATAATTAATTCATTGTTCTTTACATTATACCTATATTTTCTCCATAGCCAATCATTCTATATATATAAATATTAATATTAAAAATATATATATATATACGTATAGGTTTTTCCCGCTCCAGTTGCTCCATATGCAAATACTGTTGCATTAAATCCTTCTAGAACACCATCGAGTAAAAAATTAGATGTTTTTTCGAAAACTTCTTCTTGTACATCGTTTTAATCGAAGGCAAAATCAAACGCATATTAAGTTTCTTTATTTCTATTTTTTCTTAAAACCTTTAATTAAATATATGTGTATATATATATATATATATATCTTATACGTCATTTTAATTAAATTCATAGCCAGGATCTATTAAAACAACTAATCTTTAATCTAATATTCTTACTACTTCGAAATCACTTTTTTCTAATTCTTTTTAGTTCAATGGACGTACTCTTATAGCAACCTTTTATGAGTTTATTTTTATATTTTTTATATTTTTTTTTTTTTTTAAAAAAAATAAAAAATAAATTATTTTTTTTTAAACAGGCTTTTTTGACAAAAAATGAATGTTTTTACTAAAATGTTATTTAGACCACTTTTTAATTATTCTATATATTAATGTCGTTCCTGATTGAATTAATCTAAATATTCTTTGCTGCTCATGTTTTAGTTTTAATTTTATTTAGTATATATATATATATTTTTTTTTTATTTATTTGTTAATTAATTAATTAATTATTAAAAAAAAAAAAATAAAAAAAAAAAATGAAATAATTATTACAGATAAATATTAAAAGAAATAATAATATATTAATTTTAATAAAATTAATTATAATTTTATTATAAAAATAAACTTTTTTTTTTTTTTATAATTATGTGAAAAAAAATTAATTAAAAAAAAAATATATATATAAAAATTAATTTTACAAAAAAAATGTAATAAATTAATTCTTTTTATAAAATAAAAAAATAAAAAAGTGAAATCAATTTATAATTTATATTAAATAAAAATAAAAAATACATTTTATATATATATTTTTTTTGTATTTTAAATAAATAATAATTAAAATAAAAATTATTATTTTAAAAAAAAATAAAATAAAAAAATACTATGATATATAAATTAATAAATAACTATATTATATATATATAAATAAATAAAAAAAAAAATTGAATAAATAAAATAAAAATAGATATAAAATAAAAAAATACATAATTATATAAAAATATAGAAAAAATAAATATGTATATAAAAAAAATATTCATTCAATAAATAATTTCTTAGCAACTTCTGAAATAAACCTTTCCGCATAAATTTTCGGATCTTAAGAACTAGTATTAAGATTTTTATCTAAATTAATGATTTTCTTGTATTCTTTTTCCAGATTTTTTTACATATTCCACAATTATAAATAATCAATAATTCCAATATGATAATAAATACCCGGTTCTCTTTCCGAAGGTATAATATTTAAATCTTTATTGAATTTTTAAAACACATAATTCATTTCTTAATCATAATCAATAGTATATTAACTCCAATTAATTTTAAATACAATCAACGAATAATCAATAATATTACATCTTTAGAAAAAAAGAGCATCTTTTTCAATAGCATTAGCACATCTTTAAGCCATTTTAGTACTTATATGCACTTTTTTCTCCAAATTAATGAAATCAAGGTCTTTAAGAGTTATTTCTTTTGGTGATTTCCCTTTATTTTTTTCCAAAGAGAGTACTTCTCTATCATAAGAAGACCCTTTTATATCATAAGTTCTTTCTATATAAGAAGAAGGGCACTAAGTGACGTTTCTAATAATCAAAATATGGTTTTTTTAATCGTTTTTAATAAATGTGTATACTCCATAAATTTTAACTATAAGTGAATCTTCATTGAAAACGAAATGGTTGATATACTCTTTAAGATTCTTTAAAAAAACATCGATTTCGCCTTCAGTCATTGTTTTAATAATCATGGCTTTGTCGAATGAAAAATAAAAAAATTCACCACCTTTTCCACCATCTCCTTTAAATTATTTATTTAATTATTGATAATTTTCAAGTAAATTAAAGGATTTCTATATATTTGCCATATCTCCGTCAGATTTTTATATGGCACGGAATACTACAGGGGCATAAATTATCATTTTAGAATTAAAAACTTCAACATTTCCGGCTTATTATGGAATTTCTTATTTTAAATTGTCACTTTCTAACTAAATTTCAATTTTTTCACTAAAATTTTCAGCAATTAAGGATACTAAAGGGTTTGTAGCTTAAACTTATTTTTATTATATAGGAAATTCTGATTAAGATCTTGAATAATTTATTGAATATTATTAATTTTCGTTTTTCTTAATTAATGAATCGCTTGTTAAAATACCGACTAACATAGTATAAATTTAAGCCATGCGTAGATCTTTAGTTAATTTTTCAAAAAAATTTTAACCTTATAAACTACTATGTCTACTATCATCACTTCCGTTTCTATGGTAACTAAAATATTATGTAAAAATATATTAATATATATATATGTATATGTATATAAAAATATATATAAATAAATATATATATTATAATATAATTATATATATATCTATATATATTTATTTTACACTAATGGCTAATCTAAAGATTATTATTTAAATTCTTATGATTCTTTAAATTATTATTATTGATCATATGTTTAATTTTTTTTCCTAATAATCTACTTATTTTTCTTAATTATGATTTTACTATTCTATGTATTGTAGGTTCCTTATATCTTAAAATAGAAAGTACAATTGGCGAGCATATTTTAGCTGTATTTCCTATTGTTAGGAATATATTAAGACCAGGCAAATGAAATTTCTAGCAATTTAAAGTCGACATAAAAGTTGAGATTGCAATAATACTCCAAATAGTTGAAGTTGCTACTACATAATTGAAATAATAATCGAGAAATTCTTGCTTAATTTTTTAGAATTTTTCATTGTTTGGAACATGTTTTTTAAAATAATAGATAGCATACCATGATAGAATAAGATATATAACTAAAATTAAAATTGCAAAAACAGGAAATTTTTCATTTATTTTTAATGAACATGTACCAAAAAGACTCAGTCCGTTTAAATTAAAAGTCCAAATAAACCCAATGACAAAAATAGTACATATAAAGCAAAAAATATGAAAAACTTTTTATTTTATAATAGTTCCTTTTAAAAAATGGCTGATAGTACTTATTAAATATATACAGAAGCAACATTAATATAAAAATTCAGTACTTACAGAAAATGTACTAAAAACCGAATTTGCTATACAAAAACCACCTTTTGGGTCAGGCCCTATATTATATTTTAATGCATATACGGCCGAAACTATCCAGTGTAGACATAAGATTAGGTCTGTTATTGATATTACTAATATTATATCGCCTGGAGGCTTTCTTGTATCTGGGTACATTATAAATGTTATTATTATAAATAAGGTAGAAAATGCCGCTAAGGAAGCGAATGTTAAAAATATATATCTATCTAATTTGTGGAGAATTAGCTTTTATATAAACATTTCGTTGTCTAATTTAGATTATCCGGTTAAGCTTTAACAGTTAAGTAAATATTCTTCTGTGTAGTCTAAAAATTGGAAAGATTGAGTTATTAGTAGTAGGAATATTAATATAATAAATTTATTCATGATATTTTTTTATTATTTTTAATAAATAATTTTGTTTTCTTTAATAATTATAATTAATAAAGAAAAAAATATTTATATATAGATTATTAAATTTATATATATACTTTTTTTTTATTTATTTATTAATTTAATAAAAATATATATTATATTTATATTTAGCTTTTAATAAATAAATATTTATTTATTTATTTTTTTTTAAAAAAAAAAATTATCTTTTTTAAAATAAAAATTATATAATAATTATTTTAAACAATTTTTATTCAATTTATTTATTAAATTAAAAGTTAGAATATTTTTTATTAATAAAAAGTTTATATTAATAATTATTTAATTGAATATTTACAATTAATTAGTTATTCATAAAAAAGTATTTATTTTAATTATTAGTAATATTAAATATAAAAAATTACTATTTTTTTCTTAATTAATTAAAATAATAAACATTTAATACAAATAAAATATAATTAATTTTTCTTTTATGTGAATAATAGAAACTATTAATTTTAGATTTTATTTTAAATTATTTAAAAATAAAAAAAAATATTAAAAAGTTTATAACTTATTATTATTGTTTAATTGCTTAACATTTTTAAGTTAATTTATTTTTTTTATTTCTTATTAACTATAATAAAAAAAGCATTACCTTACTATAATATAATATAATATTATCTAAATAAAAAGAGATAATAAATACTTGCTAAGAATTTAACAGAAAAAATAAAGTAATATTTCTTATTAATAAATTCAAATATTAAATAATATTATGTGTATAATATAAAATTAATTAAAGTCTTTTTATTTAGATTGTAAATCTTTAAATATAATAAATTTATTATTTTCTTTTTATTTTTATTGTAAAAATGATATAAAATAGTCACTAAAATATTGTAAATATGTATTACTAAATATTAATTTTAAATTAAAAAATAAAAATACTTTTTATAAAAATCCTTTTATAATTTAGTATATTTCAAAATTATTTAAAAACATATAAGTAAAATATTATTATTAATTTTATGTATTAATATATAAAAAATAATTATTATTATTTTATATAAATAATATAAAACTAAAATTAAGAATTTCTATGGTTAAAATTAATCAATTTAGTATTAGAAATCTTAGTTATTTTTATAACCCAAATATTAAATACTATAAATATATTTTTATCTATTAATAATCTAGTTTTTAAAGTATTATACAACCAATAATTTTTTAAAAACAGGGACAATATTTATAGGTAAATTCATAGTATTTCTACCTAGTCCAGAAACTGATTTTTAAATTAAAAAAACTATTTTTAAACAAATCAATTTAAAAAAGCAGAATTCATATTTCTTTCTTTAGCAAACCCATTATTATAATATTAACCTATATTAGTAAGTATAGATTATTATTAAAGAACAAAAACAAAATATATCTAAATCTAAGTTATTATAAGGTAAATCACAAATTTGTATAATTTTTGACGAAATTTTTTAAATGGTGTAAAATCAAGATTGTCAAAACATTATTAGATTAAAAAATATAACATAATAATGTTTTAAAATTTTTAAATATTATCTGTATATTAAACAAAGTACTTTAGTCAATTTAAAGTAAAGTTTTAATTAATTGATTAGTTCATATTCATATTTACTAAGTATTGGTTTTTTAAATAAGAATAAAAACAATATGTAATAGAAATAAAACAAATTGTTATTAATAAAAAAAATTTATATTATTTTTTCTATATTTATTATTATATTTTTATATAAATAAAATATATTTAAAATAAAATATTATAAAAATGTATTTTAAATAAGTAAATTCGATTGTTTTATGATTATATAAAATTTATATAGATTAATATATATTATGAAATAAATATTTTTATTTTAAAAATATATAAATTAAAGTCTTTAATTTATATAAAATTTATTGTTATTATAAATTAAAATATAATTAATATAAAAAATATTTAGTAAATACAAGATATATTTATTATGTTTTTTATTTTTTCTATAAAAATAAAATTCTAAAATATAGAAATTATAATATTTATATAAATATTAATATATAAATATATAAATATATAAATATATATATATATATATATATATATATACATATTATTAATTAACATTATATTAATTTTTTTAAAAAAAAAATTAAAATAAAAATATTAAATTCATACATTTTTTATTATATAATAAATAATTAGAAATTTATCATTAATCATAGATTGATTTAAATATAAAAATTATATTAAATATTATTGATATATATTATAAAAATAAATATATAAACATTAATTAATTTTTTATTTATTTAAAAAGTATATAAAATCTTTGGATATAATTTTAGATTTATTTATTAAAACTTGTTTTTTTTTTATTTTATTTATTTTTTATCTAAAATTTATTTTAAATAAATTTTAAAATATAATAATAAAAATAATTATTTTAAGTTTTTAAAGATTTTTTAATATTTTAGTTAGCTTTTTCTAACTCTCTAGTTTATATTTATTATATTTTAATATTTTCTTACTTTTTCTTAAAGTTTATTTTATTTTTATAATTTTGGTTTATTTTTATTTTTATATTTATATTTTATATATTTAATTTGAAATTTTATAAAAAGATATAATATTTTATCTTTAAATATTTTAATAAAAAATTTATTTTTTTATAAAATATAAAATATATTTTTGTAAAAAAATAAAATAATTATAAACTTGAAATTAAATACTTATAGTTTTAATATATATAAATAATGTTTAAAATAAATTATTATTAATAATATTATATATGAATAATTTATTTAATTTAATATAAATAAAATAAATAAATTATAAACACATATTTTTAGATACGAATATATAAATTAATATATTAATTAATAAACTATATTTCCCTATTATCTTGAAAAGAATTTAAAATATATTAAAATAGAATATATAAATATATTTTCTTAAAAAAGATGAAAGTTATCTAATAAATAATTTATAAACATTTTATATGATCTTAATATTAGTATATTTAAATATAAATAACAAAAAAACATATGATTTTTTTCGTAAATATAATAACTATTATATAAAACAATCAACTACAATTAATAAAAAAAAAAAAAAATTAAATAAATAGTTTATATACTTAAGATTATATATAAATAATTTATTAAATTATTATATATAAAAATACAAAAACACAATTAAGAAATATAATTTATTACAGATTAGGATATTTTTATAATAAATAACTAGTTAAAATATAAAAAATAATATTCGAATTGTATTTGTAAAAAAATAGTGTATTCAATTTAATTTTTTTTTTGTTCAATTGATGAAATCGGATTTAACTTAAAAATATCTACATAATAACTATCGCTATTATATTAAATATTTTAAATTCAAAAACATGAAAAAAGCTATATTATAAGCTCAGTTATTGTAATAATTCCTCTTCTTAGATGTTACTAAATAATCTTTATCATATAAAAGAGAAACAGCTAATTTGTTTAAGTATTTTTTCATAGAATAAATATAAAATGATTTAAAAAAATATAAAGTATAAATAATATGATATTAAAAAATGATACCGCAAAATTTTATTAAAGTAAATTATATATAATTTGTAAAAAAATCATGATAATTTTTGATATAGGCATTTTATTTGCAAAAATAATAATTGATAAAATTTATTAAAAAAATTATAATATATTGATTCATAAATTTTTTTTAAACAATTATATAAAAAAATAATATAATTTTATAAAATAAAATACAAAAAATAATTAATAAATAAAAAATGTAAAATAATTAATTTAATTAAATAAAATATAAATATCTTAAATTTTAAAAATAAGTGAATTTATTTAGTACAAATACAAATAATATTTTTTTTTAAAAAAATATTAAATTATTTGATTATGTAATATTACTTTCTTATATATAAGCTTTTTTGTTTTTTTCACATAGAATATTTATTATTCATAAATTGTATATTTTTTTTTTTTTTATTCAATATTATTTTAAATATGATTTAATATTAAATTTAATTTTTAAATAAAAAAAAATTAATAAGACTAAAAATATAAAATTAAGTTAAAAAAATATATTTTAATAATAATAAAATTATTAAAAAAAGAAAAGATATTTAAATTTATATATAAAATAAAAATAAAAATAATATACATATATATATATATATATAAATATATATATATATATATATTTATATATATATAAATTTATTTTTATTTATACATATTATATATTTTTATATTCATAGTCTTGCTAAAGGCCTTCCTGCCATAGATATACACTCACCTAAATAATATTTTACTTATAAATAATAAATAAAATAAACCTGTAATGAAAGAAGCTTCATCACTTGCCAAAAAAGCTACTGAAGCCGATACATCTTCAGGAACTCCTAATTTTTGCTCATCTATAAAATAATTTTTATTATATATTTATTATAAAAAAAAAAAAAAAAACTAGAATTTGGACTAATATTTATATCATTTTTCCATAATTATTCTGAAAACTTAGTTTTAATAAGACCCGGTGCTACACAATTGACTCTAATATTATCATTTTATAATTCATTTGCCAGTAATTTATTCATACATAAAACCATAGTCTTAGTTATTCCATAGAATCCAATCATATTTATTTGTTCGTAACCCGATATTGAACTTATAAGTATAATATTAGCTCCTTTTCTATTTTTCATATAAGGAAGTGCTTCCTTTATTAAAAATAGAACTCCTTTATAATTAACTTCGTACATTTTATCCATGGCTTTTTCAGGAGTATCTGTAAAAGTTCCCATATATAAAGAAACTGCAGCATTAGGAATTAATCTTTTTATATAATTTTTCTTAATAAAAATAAAATAAAAATTATTTTATACATATCGATTCCTCCGAATTATTTTACAGTGAAATCAATCAATTTTTTTCTATCAGACTCTTTTCCAGCATTACATACTAAACCAAAAGCTTTTCCTCCTTGTTTTGTTATTTCTTCTACTGCTTTGTTTACGTTTTCTTAACTTCGGGAATTTATTACAACAGTAGCACCTTCTAAAGCTAATCTCCTTGATATATCGAAGCCTATTCCTGTTGATGATGCGGTTACTACTACTATTTTATTTTAAAATCTTTATTTTAACATTTTTTTTTTTTGAGATTTTAATTTTTTTTAGATTTTTTTATTCTTTATTTTTTATAAATTAAACTTGCAATATGTAAATATTTAGGTTCTAGATATTTTTTCGATTATATTGTAAAATAAATAAATTATATTAAATATTTAGAATTAATGAAAATAAAAAAAATATTAAAATCATTACCAAAAAAAAAAAAAAACATTAAAATTATGTAAAATTAATGAAAATTATTAAAAAAAAGACATTTGTTAATTAAAAAAATGATTTTAATTAATTTAATATATTTTTTTTTATTTCTGTATTGTATTTTATATAAATATTATACTTTTGTTATATATATAACTATCAAAATATTTATTATTAGATTTTATTATCAAAAGATTATCTATTAATATAATAAAAAATTATAGTTTTTTTTGTTATTAAAAAAAAACATTTATTTTTAAAAATATTCGCATAAAAGATATATTATGTTTAGTATTTATAGCAAAAAAATTAAAAAAAAAATTTATATTTAAAAAAAAATTTAAAACTATAATATTTATAATTTTTTTTAAAAAAAATAAAATAAAATAATAAATAAATAAAAATACAATACATTGTAAATAAATTAATATAATATCTAATATATTCTTCTATTTATAATTATACTAATTAACAAATATATAAATTTTAAAAAGTAAAATAAAGTATAAAATGAATAATAAAGAATTAAAACAAAATAATCTATACTAATAAAAAAATGAATGTAATTATGTTGGTTTATTGAATATAGGTAATATTTAAAAATCTAAATAAATTATAATAAAATTCATATAAATCAATCTTAATATTTCTAAAATAAATTAATTATATAAACTATATATAAAAATAGGAGCAACATGTTATATGAACAGTGTATTATAAACATTATTTATGACCCCAGAATTCAGAGAAAACATATATAAATGGAAGTAAAAATAAAAAAAAATTAATATCATTATATATAAACATAAAAGATTTGATTCGAATGAAGTTCGAGCTGAAGATTGTATCCCTTTATAATTATAAATATTATTCGCAAAAATGTAATTAAAAACATTCCCTTATATTGATACAAACGACTTAGCATAATCGTTCGGGTGGGACTTTTAGGAATCATGGGAATAACATGATATATAAGAATTTATAAGAATACTATTAGAGGCTATAGAAAAGAGTTTTGTTGGAAGCAATAATTAAAATTTTATAAATGATATATATGAAGGAGCATCAATAAATTATGTATAATGTTAAAAATGTAATAAATAAAGTATTAGATAAGAAAATTTTTTAGATTTAGTAGTAACAGTAAAAAATATGTTCGATAAAGTATATAATGATTCATTAGAAAAAAGCATTTAAAGTTATATAAAACCAGAATTATTATATAATGATAATTAATATTATTGTGAAAATTGTTAATAAAAAGTTTATATTATATAAATATTAAATAAATATATAAATATAATATATATATATATATATATAAATATAAATATATTTATTATTTAAAAAAAAAAAATTAGGTAAATGCTTTAAGAGGGACTAAGTTTTGTAAATTACCAAAAATTTTATCATTTATTTTAAATAGATTCACCTTTGATTTTGAATCTATGAAAAGAATTAAATTAGATGATTTTGTTAGTTTTCCTTTTATTTTAAACATGAATAATTATATTAATGGTTATGAAAATATAAAGCATAAATTAAATGAAGAAACTGATGAATAATATTTTAAATAGAACTTTACAATTATGAAAAAAAAAAATATTTAAAAGACTCTTTCTGGTCATTAAAAAATATAAAATACCATTTAATCTGCTTAAAAAAATAAAAAATATTTAAATACTGGTCCTTCTAATTAAACTAAATAATTTATGAAAAATTTACGAAATAAAAACAATAATAACATTAATAATAATCAAATTCCTCAAAATATAGAAGATACGGAAGAAGCAAAAACTAATCCTGCATACTGTATATTAGATTAAAAATAATAAACTCAAAAACAAACTGAAGATGATGAAGATTTAAACGAAAGAAAAAATAAATTTAGACAAAAATCAAGAAATTCTTCTTCAAAAAAAAATTATTCTTCACATGAATTAAGCTAAAACCACAATAATAATATATAAGAGGAAAAATCATTTGAAGACTATAAAAAAATACTTTTGGAACATCTTTAGAAAAATTAATAAGAAAGTTAATAATTAATAAATTAATATTTAAAAGATGGTCCTTTAGTTTATGAATTATATTCAATTTTAATACATTCAGGAGGTGCTTATGGGGGTCATTATTATGCTTATATAAAGAGTTTTGAAGATAATGGTAAATGGCATGCTTTTAATGATACTTCAATAATGGAAATTGATGTAAATGAAATTCCAGAGAGGGTTTTTGGGGGAAATAGTACTAATGCATATATGTTATTTTACAGATAATGGGAGGATAATTTTTCAAAGAGAATATAGAAAGTAGATGAGGGTTTAATATAAGATTATGTAAGGGAAATGATTGAAAAATAGAAAAACAAATGGGAAGAAGAGTAGAATTTTAAACTAGAATAATAAAAAATAATGTCCGTTAAGGTATATTATATACTAAATGTAAAAGTAATTTAAATAAAATCGACTGATTCATATAATAAACTACTAGATTAAGCTATATAGCTATTTAAAATTAAAGAAAAGAAAGAAAATTTAAGATTAAGAAGATATAAACCTAATACAGATTAAATGTTGGAATCTTTTACAGAAAGTGAAAATTTAAACTTAGAAAAATTAAAAATTAATAACTTCTGTAATTTATGTATTGAAAGTAAAAAGGATGATGAAGTTTTTGAAGATTATGATGCAAATACCACTTATATTAAAATAGTAATTTGGAAACCAAATATAGTATCTTTAGATGATAATATGATTGAAGTATGAAATAATACATATATATAATGAATATATATATTTATAAATAAATATATTTTATATATATATATATATATATATATATATATATATATAATATATTTCCATAATATATATATATATATATTTTTTTATAGTATATTAAGTTAAATATAAGAAAAAATATAACTGTTTATAGATTAATGGAATAAATTGCAAGGGTTAGTTAAATTCAATTCGAGAAAGTTTGTATTATTAAAAGAATAGATAATATACACGGAATAAGTAGTTGCGAGATTATTTCTATTTCTTAAAATTATGATTATAGAATTGAAGATATTGATATTTTAGAAGGTAGTATTTTATATGTTGAAAAAAATGAAAATATAATGAATAATAAATAAAATACTAAATGGTAAAAAGTTTTTGAGATAGATTAGAATAAAATATCTATTAAATTTAATACTCCAGAAAAAAATACATCTAATTCAAATATAGAATATAACAATTATATTATAATTGATAGTAGATTAACTATGTTAGATCTTAAAAACTAAATAATTTAATAAATTAAAGTAGACTCTATGGATGATATTATAATGAGAAGGGGAGGAAAAGCTGGTATTGAATTAAAAGATACAAAAAAAACTATAAATTCAATGAACTTTTCAAATAATTCGAGTATTTATTTAGAATTCGGAAAACCTGCAAAAGAAGGAGAAATTAGAGTATTATTTTATTTAGCATATAGAGCTCCTGCTATAACAGATAATATTTGGTATTCCTTTTAAGAAATAGGAGAAATACCAATAAATGGAAATCTAAAAGTAATATATATATTATTATATATATATATATTTATTATATTTATATATATATATTTATATATATGTTTTTAGATTAAATATATATTCTTTATATATTTTTATTACTTTTTTATAACTTTTTTATTATTATTTTATTTTTATTTTTTTTATTATTATTTTACAATATTTTAAGGCTTCAGAAGTAATTATTTAAGTTTGCTAATATATTAATTTAAATTAAAATTTAAATATTGAACCTTAATTTATAAGATTAAGAGAAAAAGTTTCTGATAATTTAACTAGAATATATAGAGAAAAAACAATGAGGGAATAATAATTAATTGAAAAAAGAGCAATTGCTTTAGAATATATAGAAAATTAAATTTAATATAATTTAAAAGATTATTTAATTTATGTTAGAATATGGAATTAATAAAATTGGTAATTATCAGATATTATAGAATTAATGGTTTCTAAAACAAATACTGGATATGAGTTAGCTTAAAAAATTTTAGAAAAAGATAATTCTATTAAAATAGAAAACATGTCTGCTATTAAAATTAATGTTATTTGGAATTTTAATAAAGCATAATTATTAAATGATGATGTATATATATTTTTAAAAAATTAAATAAAATATATTAATTTTAACAATATTAAAGTGGTATGATTTATCAAATGAAAATATTATAATTTGTTAACATCCTTTTCATATCATGAATGATGGAAGTTTATTTATGTATTTTTTTAAATGTTTATTTATTTTTTATATATATTTTATTATATATAAAGAATTAAAGATAAAAGTTAAATTCCAAGAGAATTAACAGATGAAGAAGTTAAATATATGGGAATTATACAAACTAAAGGGATTAATAAAAATAAATTAAATACAAAAAGAAATGGACTTGATAAATCTTAAAAAGAAAAATGTTTATAAATTAAAGTTAAAAAGTAAAAGTTATTTTAACTTTTTATATATATAATATTATTTATTTATTTTATAGAAAAGAAAGTAATATAGAACCTTAAATATAATTTGAAAATAATATATAAAAAAATAATAATTAAATAGATAAATAAGATGATATTTAATAATGATATATTTATTTTCAAATAAAAACATTACAATATATATTTATAAATTTTATATGTTTAATAAAAAAAAAAAGAATAAAAAACAAAAGAAATAAATACACTTTTTTTTTTTAAAAAAAAAATAAAAAATAATAAAAACGAGAGAATTATTTTTATATTTTTTTTGACTTTTTTTAGATATTAAAAAGTTTGTTTTTTAGAAATTTTATTTTATATAAAAAAAAAACTTTTAATAATTAAGTGAATATATTTTCAAAAAATAAAATTCAAAAATCATTGATTAAGCTCTTATTATAGTTAAATTCAGTTTTTATTTTTTATTATTTCTCCTTCATTATTAAAATCAGGATAAAGTCCATTTCTAATTTAAGGTAAAAATTCTTAAAATGATTATTCAATTCTAGCATCTAAAGTATTTGAACAAACAATTTTTCCATCATAACAACTAATAACAATACCTCCTAATCTATTTTATATTTTTTTTTTGAATAAAAAGAAAAACAAAATAAATTATTAATTTTTTATATTTTTACAAATTTTTAAATTTGTCATCTAAAAAATGATCTCTATTTACTTTAATTTTACTATTAAAGCTTTTTTTTTTGCATTCTTTAATAACTAAAGAATTAAAATCTTATTCACATTCATATAATAGGCTTTCTATTAAATAAAGATCTTCTTTTTTGCATTATAATTCTATATTCTCTTCCATTAATTTAATCATAGACTACAATATAATATATATATATATATATATGTATATAAATATATATGTATATATATATAAATATATATATATATTTATTTAGACATATTTATATATAATAATATATATTTTTTATAATTATTTATACATATTTTTTATTATTTTTTAATATTTTTACTTGAATTATAAGATTTTTAAGTAATTTTTTATACACCTCTTTATTTTAAATTTATATTTCTAAAGATTTTCTTACTTCTAATTTTAAAGTTTATAAAAGCTCATATCTTCTAGTCATTTTTTTTAATCTGCATTCATTTATAACGGAAGATCGTTCACTTTTTTTTAAAAAAAAATATATAAATGTACATAATAATGATATTATAATAATATATATATATATATTTTTTTTAAACATACATATTTTTTTATGATATAATTTTTTCCATATTATTTTAATTTTATTAAATAACTTTAGCTTTTTCTTATTCAAAATATTTCCCATATTCTTAATTGTATGTCTGGTTAGCAATTTCTTATATACTTTATGACACATGATTAGCTTTAAATTCTATTGCTTTTGTCATTTCTGCAACTCTTTCTTAAGGGTTATATGTATTTGTAGCCATATTTTATAAAATTTTTAATTTCTTTATTTTATTTTTTTGATATAAAATATTTTTTTTTATTTAATAATTTATTAAATATTTCTATTTTATAAAAAATCTTTTTATTTTGTTTTTTTATAAAAATAATATATTAAAATTAATGCTTTTTAATAATACTTTAATTAATATAATATAAAATTTTAATTAATTAAATAAATATTTTTATATATTATATTTATTTATTTATTTTAGTTTATATTTTTTATATATTTTAATCAATTAAATATTATATATAATAAACTTTTTATATTGAGTTAAGAAACTTTTTTTTTTTATAAAAAAAACAAAAAAAAGTTAGTAATAAATATTAAAGTTTTCTTATATTAAATTAATAAATATATTAAACAAAAAAAAATATAAATAAAAAAAAAATATTATAATGTAAATATAAGGTGTTTAATATTAATCATTAAAACATGATTATATATAAAATTAAAACTCTCTCTATTAAAATAAATTCAATAACTTAATTAATCAATCTGTTTTGAATAAGAATAATTAAAATTATTATATTTGTTAATAAAACATTAAATCTTAATAAAAAAATGTACAAAATTATTCTATTTTATTTATTTATTTAAAAAAAAAAAAATCAATATATATACACAAAGTAGTTTTAATATAAGAAAAAAAAGAATCTATTTTTGAATTCCGTATCTTTAAATATTTATAATGAGACTTTTTAATTTTCAAATAAATATTAAAATCTTGAATTATAGTAAAGTAGTAATTGTTAAAAAACTTAAATCAATTCAGAAAATAATCATTATTATAAGTGTCTAACTCAAAAATAATAAAATAGTAATTAAACAATTGACGATAAATAAACATATAAATATTACAAATAAGAAATAAATTCTAATAAAAAAATAGATGAATTATTTACTTAAAATAAACGATTGTAAACTGAAAATATACTTTAAGAAAATAAAAATAAATAAAATTTCTTATCATTAAAAAAAAATGAATTTTTTAAATTTTCTTAAGAAATTGTAGAAATAGAAAAAGATCTTTTTTATTAAGGAAATATAAATAAATAAAAATAACCTGAAGGTTATGGGATATTAAAAAATAAAGATTAATAAATAATATATAAAGGGGAATGGAAAAAAGGTCTTTTAAATGGATGTGGTATTTTATATAATATTAATGATTAGTTAAAGATAAAAGAGTTTAAAATAAATGATTTATCTAATATTTTTGAAGAAAATTAATGGATTTAATATTAAGGAGATTTCTATAATAACAAAATTGAAGGATTTGGTATTTTAGAACTTTAAAATAATTATAAAATTATAGGAAATTTTCTAAAAGGAAATATTCACGGATAGGGGACTTTTTATAATGGAGATAAAATTTAATAATATATATGGGAAAACGGTAAATTAATTAAGATTTTATGAATTTTTAAAATTATTTTGTTATTTTCTTTTTAAATAAAAAAATAATAATAATATAAGTTAATGTTCATATATGTTTCTATTATTTTTTTAAATCAAGTAAATCGTTTATATTATCATTATTAATAGATTAATTAAATGATCTTTTTTTATTTAAAGAATCTAAATGCATTTATAATTCAAGATCTTTAATTCTTTTATTTATTTTATAAAATAAAATATTATATATAAATATAAATAATATATATATAATATATATATATATATATATATATATATATATATCAATAATTATAATTATTTTTTATACTTTTATTCTACTATTCTTAATGATTTTATATTTTTTAAAAATCCTCTTAAATGATTTAATGTTATCAATATAATATTTTTTTAATCTTAATAATTCTTTTTTTTAAATATAAAATATTTATTTATTGTTTAATTTATTATTATTTTTTTAATTATTATATTTTTTTATTTTTACTTATTTTGATTACTATATAAAACCTATATAAATATCAATTATAGTATCTTAAATAGCTTAATCATTTTAGAAATAAATTGAAATAAATTATAAAAATTAAGCATAATTATATTTATTTAATTATGAATTTTCTAAATGTTTCATATATTTATTTAAACCAATCTACTTTTCCCCTTATTCAGCTAAATATTTAGCTAATTCATTTATAGCCCAATGTTTTATATCTTATTTATAGTTAACATTTTATGTAATTTTTTCATATAAAACAATAACTTGTTCATAATGAGTATTTATCCTTCTTTCAAATTAAATTAATCTCATTTAACTTTTAAGAGTTGGATTATTACTTAAAAGAGACCAATTAGTTTCCAAATTAGATTCTAATATAATAACTTAATTATATATTTCTCTAGCCTTATCGTAATTTTTAAATTATTCTTCATATTCAGCCCATCTATATAAAATTTCAACATTTTAAATTTTAAAAAAGTTTTCATGCTTTCTTAATAAATTTAATATATGCTAAATTAAGTTTTCGTTTTCGGCATAATTAAAATATTCTAACCATAAATCTTCTCTATCACACTTTTTTTATATAATTTTTTTTATTTAATTTTATAAATATATATATATATATATATATATATATATATATATATATATATATATATATATAAATTTAAATCAATATTTATGACATTTTTTTATTTTTACTTATGTTATTAGTGATTTTTCATATAAATATATAACTTCATCTACTGATAAGTTTTATTTAGCATATAATATATATTAATTCCAGTTTTCTTATTCTTCATGTAATAAAGTACCATCGTATTCAGTTTTTATTATCTATATATTTTTTTTAGAATAATATAAAAAAGAATAAACAAATTACGTTTACATATATATATAATAAAAAGTTTATATATATTCATTATAAATATATACTAATATAATTTTTATAATTATTTCACATATATATTAATATTCATACATATATATTTTATTTTTTTACTTTTCTTTCAAATTATTCTATTATTGGAAAATGAGATTTCGATTTTTCTGCTATATTATTAAGATAGTTTTTTATTTCTTATACCATTTCTAAAAATATAAATTATTTAAATTAATTTATGAATAAATACATTCTTATGTAAATTCCGTAATTTATATTTTATGTCCAAAAACAACAAAATAGCAAGATTTTATTTATTCTAAATTACAATATTAGAAAAAAGAATCTGCCTTTTCCTTTAAGTCATCTATTTCTTTAATAGTAACACTTAAAAATCTTTTAAATAATTTCATGCATTCTTCTTTATTTTCTCCTTAGATTCTTAATAGATCTTCCCAAAAAATCGAACTATTAAAATCGAATCCTATGCAATCTAAAGCTTATTCATATAATCTATTAAAATACAAAATATATATTATATATAAATATTTATTATTTTTTTACTTAATAATTTTTTATTCATCTATTTATTCACTTCTCATATGTGATAAATAACAATCCCATAATTCAAAACTTCTAGGATTTAGTTCAATTGCTTATTAATAACTTTTTTTTTTTTTTAATTATAATTTTTTTTTTATTTATTTACATTTTTTCTACATCTTCATTTGATTTGATTTATTTGACATATTATGCATATGAATTCCAATATTAATAATTAAAAGGATATTATTTTAAGTAATAATTATAAATTTCTTCTAATTATTAACTTTACTATAATTATATATATTTTTATAATATATAATAATATTTATTTTAAAAAATATAAAAATAATACTTGTTATTCGTGTTATTATAAATATTATTTTAATTATTGTTGTCTTTAACTATATGATAGATTTTTATAAGCTTAGTTAAATTAATCTATTATATTGCTCATGTTTTTTTTATTTTGATATTATTTAATTTTTTAGTATTTTATAATTTTTTTTTTTTTTTTTAAAAAAAAAAAAATATATATATTAATTTTTATATTTTTAATATAAGATTTGTTAGATTTGTTTTTTTATATTTTATTTTTATTTAAATTTTAATTTTTTTATAATATTTTTTAGTTTTGTTAAATTATTAATTTTTTTTTTTTTCTATTAAAATAATTTTTTTATTTTTTTTTCAATTAATATAAAATATAATATAAATATATATTTAAATATATATAAATAAATATATAATATTAAAATAATTTAGTAATATTAATTATAAAATAAATAAATAAATATTAAATAAATAAATAAATATTTTTTTTTTTTATTTCATCTTTCTTATGTTTAAATCTTATTTCCTTAATTCTATACAGAGTCTTATCCAAACATTGATTTTTTATTAATATTTTATTTTACACCTTACATTGCAAAATTTTATATTTTTATTGATCCTTTAGGAGAGTTACTATATTTACTACTTCCATCATTAATAGCTTCAACAATTCCTCCATAAGTTGGATTTTTTTACATATCATAAGAAACAATCATTTTTAATCTCATTTTATTCAATTGATTATTATAACTAAGAATATTAGAAACTTCCTTTGAAATAACTTGATTCGATTTTTTATTATCTGATAAAAAGAAGAATTTAATTATAGGATAAACAATAATATCAAAAACTAAAAAAATAATCAAAAAGCATAAAAAATAAAATAAGTAAATTATATTAAAGGCCCTTTTTTGTATTATATCATTTTAATCCTAAAAAATCTATACATCATTATATCCTTCGGAGTTTAACGAATCTAAAACAATCACTTTTACTTAATTAGAGTCTTAAGGAAAAATAAGGGGCTGTCCATACATATACATACCAACAGCTAAATGTAAAACTAGACATAAAGGAATTATTTTTATAATAGTATTATTTACTTACTGATCATATTAGGGAGGTTTTTGGTTAAATCTTAATAATTAGTACTTATAACACCAATATTATATAAACAATGAAATAAAACCAAAAAATAATAATATAGGCTGACCGGAAGAATATAACATGCATGTAAAAGTTACATTTAATACAGATGCATAATATGGCACTAAATCAAATTCTGGACCGATTATTATTTTATTCATTTCTTATTATAAAACGGCTTTCTTAGCTCTAGATATTAAAATACATCTTTTTATAGGAATCAATAAAGCATTAATTAAATGCGGAGATATTGTAGTTAATAACATTGTGAATACGATTTTTGAGCCAACTTCTTTGTACCATATTCTCGTAAAATCAGAAGAAAAATTAGTTTTTTTTTACTCTTATAGTTCTTTTAAGGGAGGTATAGGATTTGTTATGAATATAGAAAGTATAAATCCAAATATATCTGCTTATAACTAAATATATATATTTATAAATATATAATTATATTTAAATATATAAATATTTAATTTACTATTAAAACTATTATGGCAGTATTAATAAAAGTACATATAAACAACAATACAGCAGTAACTGAGGACTCTTATGAAAAAGTTGGAAAACGTAAATATTTACTTAGTTTTTTAACTATAATTCTCAGTAAAATATTCACAAAAATAATAATAAAAGACGATAATATTATCAAAGCCATAGTAAATAAATGTTAAGTATATTAATTCCAACAAAAATTTCTTAAAGATGTGTCTTAAGCTATATCAGTAATATCTTATTAAATACAAAAGCATTTAGTTATAGTAGTATCATTTTATTTTTAAACTTATTCAAAGTTCATATTTACTATTACACACTCAGGATTTTCTGGTCTTACTATATTAGCAACTATTACTATAAATATAGTTAAACTCATTACTATTAATATAGTAAAAAATGCTACAATTTATCTTTTTATATATCGCCTTGTTTTATATATGTGTTTATATATATATACACATCTATATATATTTTTATACTTTTTTAAATATCTAAATTTTCCCATTTAATATTTGAAGGTAAATCAGTATTTTCTGAAAATTTAAGTTCGTATTTTCCATTGAATTTCATACTGTAGGGCATTTTAGGTCTAAAACAGCATAATAAATATTTAAAAACCCAATGTGGGTTCGTGTATTTTTCATACATTTAAAATGCTTTTTTTCTATATTCAAAGGTTTGAAAAACTACATAGGCTTTTATAGTCTCATATTCTTCATATTGAATATTTCCATTAAGTTTTTTTTGGATAATTTCGTTCATTTTGTCTTATATTTCTTTTAATTTTTATTTATTTCTTTTCAAAATTAATTATTAATTGCGATTTAATAAACCTAGCTTTTTTTTTTCATCGTCTAATTCATTTCTTTCTAATAGAAGAGCCTCTTATTAATGTAAATACAAAGTTCCATGAAAATTTCGGGCAAATGCAACTTCAACAACCACATCAGAACCAGAATCATCGTTTTAAAATATTTAAAAAACTCCATTTAAAAAAAACTTTAAATCGTTCGGGTCTTTTGTGCTTTTTGGAAATCCTTTTACTTCTAAAGCGTATCTGCTAGGAAAAATATTTAATTCATTATAAGCACGAAGTTATTTAATTGAAAATATTCTATAATAAAATATAATTATTAAAAATAAACAACTATAAACTATATCAGGTATCCATAAATAATATTTTCTAGTATTCTAATAAATTTTAAAAAATTTTAAATAATATTAATAAAATATATATAAAAATATATATATATATATATATATTTATGATTGTTTTTATATATGAGTGAAATTATAAAATTGATAATATTTAACTTATTTTAATATATAAATATTTTATTAATTTTTAATTTTTCTTTTTACCATTTCATTTACAAATGTTTAAACATTATCATCATTTTATTTTTATAGTTAATTTTTTTATTCATCTGTTAATTTTATACTTGGTAGAATCGCTATTAATTGTGGTTGGTTTGCAATTGAAAATTACTATAATATATTTATTCCTTATACATCTAAGCCTTTTCCGGTATAATTAGAATATAAAGAAGGTAGAGCAATCAACGAGGCCATTAAAAAAAAAATTGCTATTATCTTTATAAAAGAAAAAAAGAAAAACAATCCAATACCATAATCTTTAAATTCGTTTATATCACAATTTAAATTAAACGGTTCTGGTAAACCAAATTTATTTGCTTTTCCTAATTACATCAGTTTTTTAAAAGCTAAGGCATGTTCATAATTTGCTTTTTATAATTTCTTTTCTTGAGACTTTTCTAGGTTTATTTTCAATACTTACTATTATGATTAATGTGATAGTTATAATTGTGGATTAGAATCATTTAAATTTTTCATTTTTTAATTATTAATATTTATTATAATAATTTTTTTAATTAAAAAATTTATTTAAAAAATAATTTATTTATCATTTTTTTAAATAAAAAAAATACTTTTTGCTTTATAATATAATAGAAAATTTATTTTTTATAAATAATATAGAAAAAAAAGAAAAAAAAATATGTCTAATTAAGAAATAAATAATAAAATAATTTACTTTTTTTTTTAATTTATTTTATTACAAAAAGATAAAAAAATAATAATATATCAATTAATGATGTAAAATTATAAAACTGCATAATAAATATGGTTTATTAATAAATAATTAAAAAACGTTGTCGTTTTATTTATTTTTTATGACTTTTAATTAATATTAATTTATATATATATATATATATATATAAATAAAATAAAATATTACTAATTAAAACAAAAAAAATTGATAATTAATATTCTTTTATATATATATTGATAAATAATCATGAAAAAAAAAAATTAAATATAATTTAAATTATTTATATATATAATTTTATTTTTAACTAAAAAAGGAAATAAGATATATTTTTTTTTTAATTAAATTTACATATTATTTTTAATAAATATAAATTAATAATATATTATAAACCAATGAATATATTAAATAATGAGAAGTTACTAAATAAATAAAAAAAATAAAATAATTTAAAGGCTTGTAAATATAAAAAGTGTATTGATTATGACGAATATTAATCAGTATTATTATATTTTTTAGGTATTAAATTTTAATAAATACAAGAAGACTTATGGTCAGTTTTAATTAAAAATAATCAAAATAAAATAAGTTAAATTCATTTATTCTAAATATTATATTTAATAAAAACTTAAATAAACAAATCTTAGTAACATATACTAAAAAAACTATAAATAGCATTAAAAAATGAAGAGCTATGTCAGTAAAAAGATAAAAAATAAATAAATAAATTTATATTTTATTAACATAAAGTTTACAAAAATAAGAAATAGCTGAATAAAAGATTTAAAATCTTATAAATAAACTATAGACATGTTAAGAATCAGAGCAAAAACATTAATAAGAAGTGAAAAAAAATCATCAATAATAAATTATAGCTCAAAAATAATTAAAAAATCTTACTTTAGAAAAAGTAATGGAGGTAAATTCTTAAATTAGTTCAAGAAACAATAGTTAAAATAGTAAAGAAAAGATAATAAATTAAGAAGAAAAAGTTTAATTAAAGGAAAATTCTTTTAAATAAATAAAAAAATTAATTAATAAGTATTCTTCTTTGAAATTTTAAAAATAATAAAATTATTTTTAATAGAATAATAATTTATAAGAATAAAATATTTTATAAAATAAAGAATTATTATAATAATAAAACTTAAAAGAATAAGAAAACAAATAAAAAAAAAATTGAATGATTTTATTAAAAAACATATACAAATGAAAAAAAAAAAAAAAAAAAAAAGAATTATTTATTTTACAAAATGATATTAGTTTTAATATATTATG